GTTAGTTATTTTATTTAAATATTGTTTTCGACTTGAAGCTCAGTTGTTTGTAATTGTCAATGATAGAAATCATTTATGTGCAGAGAAAGTAATTTTGCTTAGTAACTTAACGTTAGTTTAATATTAACTGTTAACTCATGCGGTAGTTGAGGACACGGACTACGCGTGAGATATCACGCGTAGTACGTGTCCTCAACTACCGCATGAGTAAACATCAATTATCAGATCATTCATACTTTTGACATCTCATCAACTTACCTACTGCTGTACAGTAAAACTGTACAATAAGTTTAGTTCAGACATATATGATCAGCTTCGAAATGTTGCCTCATGAAGAGGTTGCTTTTGAAATTGTTTATTCTTATCTTCAACATGTTGCCTATATGCATGATGTTTCTTTTCTTCTTTCTTTGACATTGCTTGACATAAGTGTCTGTTTGCTTAATATAATTAAGGTACAGCACACGATGACTGGTCCAGCCAAACGAAGCTAGATATGGAAGTTATTCAAAGAATGTGCAAAAAACATGCAGAATAAAGACATACGCAGTTAAGGACGCTTACGATGTAAAGAGTCTAGTTGTAGTTAGTTTGAGAAATGTTCTCCCATCGAAGGCTCATCGAGATCTACGGTTTTTGCTATACTTTGGCCAAGAGTAGGGATGGGATAGGTCCAGTTCCGTTCTTTTGAACGGGAACTGATACCAGTTCTTTTCAAAAGATTAAAATTAAAATAAAACCGGTGAACCTACTTACATTGACATTTGCGTAGTGCGCCAGAGGTAGATGATGTGTTTAGCCAACTAAAACAAGTCATTATAACTAGCTACATCGGTTTTATTTTGAATTCTTGAAAAGAACTGGTAACCAGTTCCCGTTAAGCAGTAACTGAAGGGGTGACCAGTTCTTAGGAACTATAGGAACTGTCTCATCCCTAGCCAAGAATAGGTGCCATTTTTGATGGAAAAATAAGTTTGTAAAGGTTATGTTAAGGCTATCATCCCACTGAAAGAAATGAGAATGCAGTCATGACGTCTGCTATATCACAATCTTCAAAAACAAGGTGTTTAGAAGAAAAAGTAGGGAATGATATCAGAACCACCATCGCGAACACAAGCGGGAGCCAATTTTCTTCCCAAACCGAACTCTACGGAACAAAAGTTGCGGTTTTCACCATTCGACAGAGGAGACTTGGGGACATGCTTTCATAACCAAATCTTTCCAGAAAAGTTTTCTGAAACGGGTTTTCTAGAAGATCTTTGTTAACTTGATCATGTGTAAACATTTTCTAACAGGATTATATAGATTTTGTATAGGTTTTCTACGAGTCCCAGGACTGGCACTCGGTGTAGACTGTTGAACTATGAGTAATTGGCCGTGCTGAGTCTCTTGACAATACTTGTTTTGAAAGAAAATGTTAAAAATCTACCAAAAATCGAGGTTTACGAAAATTATTGTTTTCAGATGTTTTCATCTAATATTAAAAAATTTACTATTCACTGAACAAACATAGAACGACCTCAATACTTCAGAATGCAGAATATTTAAGCTATTCTATATCCTGTTTATGGAAAATATTGAAAGAAATTTTAGGTTGTCTAAAAGGGCTTCTCTCGTTTATCAACAAAACTATGATTTTTCGATCTTTTCGATGTTGTAATCACATTTATCGGACAACATTAATTGTTTCCTGAAGTCTTGAAATTGTTCTGGTGTTTTTAAATGAATATTGAATTTTTTAATATTAAGTAGAAACGCTTCGTTTTTCGACAGATTTTTAATACTTTTTCTCTAAGATCCGATTTCGAAGAGAACACCTCGAGCCACCAGCCCATGAAAAAACAATCAATACAATTCTTCTGGCAAACTTTTACACGTTCTTCAGTTAACAGAGACCTTCTAGAAAATCTATGTCAGGAAACTCTTCTGAGAAAGTTTGGTTATGATAACATGCTCGCAAGTTTCCTGTTGTGAATGGTGAAGATCGCAACTTACTATCTCTTTCCATTCTCGAGTTATTTAAAAAATGGTCACGACCACTGTTTTATTGGACAGACAGTAACTTAGTTACGTAAACAAAGCCACGCACAGCACTTCGAAGAGTTGATAGTTGGCTTGCTGGTGCAGTAAGGTCCAAATGAGTGTTTTGTTGAGACTTTGTTGATAATTGAAGAGATGTTTTCTCTCAACAAGATATTTGAGCAGATATGGAAAAAATGACTGATAACAGGAGTTGATAAAAATAGAATGGATTCGTAGACTGAACTACATATTAATAAGCATAGTTTTAAAAAGTACTTCAGAACAGGGTTCTCGGATCTAAAAGACGAAAATAAGAAAAATAAGTTCGCGATCAGACAAAAATGAGAAGGCGGTCCGTCCTTTTATTTAAATAGTTAATCATATTTTCTTTTACGAACTATTGGAAAAGTACGATCAAACATCTCTCATTCGATCAGAAAATGGTACCAGTATGGTAGAATGCTTGCGTTATAAATAAAATTTTCATTCAATTTGAAACAAGAATGTTAAAATCAGAAACAAGACAGGAAAAAGTGCATAAATCAGAACTTTTTCGTCGAAATCAGACGACCTGTGGATTGAATGATTAATTGATTGGATTCTGCGATGATTGTTGTAATAAAAATGTTTTAATAAATGGTTGTTTTTCATTTATTGGTGTTACGTCAATTTTTAAAGCTTCTAGACTAATATTCTCTAATGTTAGTGTTTGAGCATAATTACGGTTTTATTCAAAATAAACCAAACCCTGAAAATTGTTTTCTGTTGGTTTCATATTTTTTTCATATCGCTTGATGGGGTTTATTTTAAGCTCTTTTGTTAATTCCGATGAATAATTTAATTTTTGTTTAGAGATGTGCAACCCGACCCGAAGGTTGGGAACCGGTACAAAGTTGTCGGGTACGGGTTCTATTTTTTTTTTTAATTTACCATAAAATTGGAAGGTTTTAGTGGAAAACCCACAAAATTTTAGCAAATACAGGAGTTTAGCTGAAATATATGTAGGTTTGGAAAAGAATTACTGGAGAACGTAATGATAATTTGACATCTTCAGCCAAAAAACAAAAGTTTTTAGCTGCGAAACAAAAAGAAGAAAGTGTTTAGGCATAAGTAGAGTAGGGTCGGATACGGGTACAAAGTTCTCGGATTGGGTCTGATATGGGTGCAGAGTTGTCGGGTCGGGTAGGGTACGAGTGGAAAAAAAATTTTCGGGTCTGGTACGGGTACGAAAATGGTACCGGCACATCTCTATTTTTGTTCTGCTGTTTCACAATTAATATTTAAATCAAGATATGCACTAACACAATTAATATTTGTTAATGCTTTTAAAAGTGATGATGCTGGTATATTAGTTGTAACGTCAACTGTTTTTGTTATTACCGGCATTGGCGTAAAGCTTTTAGTATTTATTTGTAATGATTAGCCTGCGGATGTTAATGTATATTTAACTTCACCATTGTTGAGAAAAATTAAACACTTGTATTCACTTGTATATAAATCTGAAACAGATAACTGCTCTGATTTATTATCTCAATAACTTTTTGACCTTGATATAAAACAATTAGTTGTGTGGAACGAACATATGCATTAACTTTTAGCCATTTTAAATTTGTTTGTTGATTCCAGTGCAAGACAAATACGAGGAACAATATCTTCTATTATATTACTCGAATAAATTGATACTGAAAATGAAGTTCCTGACATTGATTTTAAATTTAATTGTCCATCTTTAAGCATCATTTTTTATTTTAATGTTCTTGTTTATTGTACTTGTGATGTTGAACGTAAGTGACATGGTAATAAATGATTTATTTCAATGATCTTATGAATTCTAAAACTATCTAACAGTATATAACCAAAATCAATTATATTTGCCGATAGCTCAACATCAGTTTTAATAATTCTACCACATAAATGAAAATCGCTTGTTGCAGTATTATGTTCTTATATTAAAATTTTATAATTTTCTTGACCTTCATCATCTTCTTTATTAAGAGGGTATTAGAATATATCAATTTCAGTTATATATTGTGCTGGTTTTAAATATTTTATCATCAACTGGAATGTAAAAAGATTTATTGTTGTTTATATTCATTCTTATTGACTTGTTTGATATTTTTGTATATGAACATCATTTTCAATCTGATTATGAATAATTCATGCTTTGTATTAAACGCCTATGAACACCAATTACTGAAATTCACTATGTTTTGTGTCTGGAAAGACTGAAATCCATAAATATTTCTGGTGGAACACATTGTATTATTTGATTATTATTTCTTGATTTATATATTCAAATGTGTGAGCCCCGCGACCTATGTGTGAATAAAAAAATACGTTACTTAAATCCAATTCAATTTCAATATTCATATTAAGTGATTCATTACAATCAAAATCGAAATCAAAAGTTAACGCTTTAAGTCCCATAGTATGAAAAAAGCTACACTTGTTTTATAATTATTTTTCATAACATAATTTATAAAAGTAAGTACGTAATCTCTTGGAAAGAAGATACAGTGTTCTAGAACCTTTCCGGAGTATCTGTGTTGCAGGTATCGCCTTCATATCTTTCCTTTTTCTACTTCTCCATCTCTAGATGTGACAACATTCTTTCTTCCTTCGATGCGATATCATGCGAAACCTTGTCACTAGAGATGAGACGGCATGCCAAAGTTTCGCGTCCTTTCGTATAATACGAAAGCTGTAGTATATATTTCTTTTCTTTCTGTCGATGAAGTGTGACATGTTATAAAGCGGAAGAAAACGAAAAAGACCTTTGTTTTCTTTCGTACTTTCGCCATTTTGGAACACGCAAAAGTGAAATGTTACTTTCGTATATTATACGAAAGTGAATTGTCACATTTGATCTATAGAAGATAATGTGAATCGTTTCTAAAGGAAATAAAGTAGACCTCTCTCTATTTGAGAGATCAATACTATACTTTGGGTCAATACTATACTTCTCCTACCCCTTCCGAGAGCAGATAAAAACAATTTTAATGATGAGATTTTGATGCGCGCCAGATAGAAACGTCAATAGCTAGTTCAGATGTTTGTATACGTTTATTCTCAATCTGTATTCTCCGCGCTAGTATCAATATCCTAATATAAAAGTGGTGCAAAAGTTTCAAAACTTGACAACAAGATGGCCGACCAACCGCGAGTTTTCAGTCTTTTGAGATTTTAGTCATCAAAACTTCACTTAAAAACAGAAATAAGATGATATTTGGATCAGCGTCAAATACTGCATCAGATGATGTGCCTTTGAAATTTTTTAGAGAAATGAAAAATTTTGACACTCTTTCCATGTTCAGCTTCCGAGCAAATTTTGACAAAACTTTTCATTTCACGCCTTAGAGCAAAAAATGTTGTTTATTCAGGTGTATCATTTGTAGGCGAGTAACTAACAGATTAAGTGAAAAGCGAATGTACGTGCAATTACAAAGATGAAACATAAGATCACACTATATGCATGCAGATTTTATTGTCTACTCGGAAAGATATACCTTAGTACATTGATAGACGTTTTTATTTAATCTTTAGCTGCTTTTTATGAATACGTTTGTTCATTAGCCATCGGTATGCTAATTGTTCCCGCGTCCTCAAATACAGATTTTTATCTTACGGTTCTGTTTTATTGCAGTTGTACCTATGAGCATTACAAAATATTTCGCACTTTTTATTGTATTAAAAAGCACGAAGTTTTCTCAAAAGACCGAGGCATCGAACTTCTCACCTAAATCACGGCTCTCCTTTTTCTCATAACACAAAAATATTGCCTGTGTGTATTGTAGAGTAATGGTCTGCATCAATATATAAAAACAAAATCCATCAGGCATATGTATAACAGCCAAAATTAAAATGTTGGTTTATTACATAATTGTATTTGATCTGATATGTATGTTGCTGGTATTATAATATAAAGCCATTACACTATCCTCCGCACATATTTTGGCGAAAATTGGCTCCGCCTTGAATCACAGAATATATGTATAGTTTCTTGCACGTGCCACTGGTGCTGGTTTAATTATATTTTCTCGTTATGGCCAACAGATTGTACTTGTCGAATCGAATTATGGTGATTATGACTTTGGGTTTCCCAAAGGTTACATAGAAAAACGTGAAACATCTAAACAAGCAGCTGTACGTGAAACAGACGAAGAAACAGGATTAAAAACACAACAATTAGCGTTTGTACCATTACAAAAAGCGTTAGATGAATATGGATGGAATTCAGTTAGTAATTATTATGTTGCCGGTGTCAAGGTTCCAAGTAATCGTATACAATTCCGATATAATTCACGGGAAATACGATCTGTAAGATGGTATCTAGTAGATGAAGCATTAAGATTACCAAAATTATATCCACATCAAAAACGATTATTAATACAAGCACAACAACTATATATACAATCGCAAAATCAAAACACATTATTAAACGGGAATCAATTCATATACAATTAAATACTGAAATTGATACTTTGTTGGTTTGAAAGTAACAACGTGACAGCTCAGAATCACTTATCATATTTGGAAAAACAAATGCTTTCAGTTGTGGTTTATTTGTCTTTTGCTCTTCATTGTATATCAATAAAGAAAGATTTGAATAGAGCCTTTTTAGTAAGTTGCTTAGGTGACTTTCATTGAAATCATGATAGTGTTACGGATGCCTTGTGTCCTTATTAGGTATATCGAGATGGGTTGGACGTTGGACTGTCCTATCGATACATTTTTTTGGACAGATGATACTAATTTGGTGAAAAGTGTGTTTTTAGTATTTACAAAACTCAGAAAGGAAAAACGCAATTATTCATGAAATACATCATTCGATGCAGTTCTTCGAGTATATCACGAACTTGACGTGTATTTCGAAGAACAACGCATGTAAAGCTAACAAATCATCAGAATACCTCTCTGGAATCCACTATTCGATAAGGGCTCTCAAAAACTAGAAATAAGGTATCTCTAATCTGGATGCTAGAGGTAGTCAAAAGTTCTGTTTAGTTAATCAGATGAACACCTTTCGCGGGAACAAGTAGCATACCGTTGGCTGATGAACAAACGTATTCATAAAAAGCAGCTAAAGATTAAATAAAAACGTCTATCAACGTACTAAGGTATATCTTTCCGAATAGACAATAAAATCTGCATGCATATAGTGTGATCTTATGTTTCATCTTTGTAATTGCACGTGCATTCGTTTTTCACTTAACGTATTAGTTGCTCGCCTACAAATGATACACCTGAATAAATAACATTTTGCTCTAAGGCGTGAAATGAAAAATGTTGAGCACGGACTGATAGAAAAAATACGTATCGCCTGTGTTTGAATCTGTTCTTGTTATTGCTGTCGTAAAACTAACACTTTTGTCCTTTTTTAACTTTTTCTTTACAAAGTAAATAGTAAATAACAAGTTACATATTTATAAATAAACAGCAAATCACAAGTTACATATTTACAGGTAAATAGTAAGTAACAAGTTGTGTGCTTTAACCCTCGGTTAGTGTTGTGGGGTCCGCTTGGACCCACTTTACAGGTTTTCGTCTCGCACTACATAACTATTTACTGTTTCGAGCCATTTGTTTTTGTAATCTCTCGGCTTTGATAGATGTACAATATCCTGATAAAACCAATTTTTCGCTTTTCTATACCCGCCATCTATTGCATATCGATTTATTTTCAAATTAAATACTTTGTGATTCGTTCGCACATTCATCTCTGATTAGGGATGTTCGGTTCTGGTTCTCGAGTTAGAACCGAACCGAAAAGAACCGCGGTTCCGGTTCTCGACTTAGAACAGAACCGCGGTTCTCGGTTCTCAGCTTAGAACCGAAAAAAAATTTTTCAAGCAAGTAGAAGATAAAACTAAACATCATAATAACTAATATCTCCTTTTCTTATTCATAGACAACTGTATGTGCTAACATAGAGTATTTGTACCACAGGCTAAATGTATTGTATGTATGATTTTTTACTTGGACTTCCATTATGTTATGAAACTAGTATGAGACGATCCTTTTCTTCGTATCGTGCG